TTTAACCCACACACCTCCAGTACGACCTTGACTCAGTAACGTGTGGGAGGACCTTACGAAGTGGATTCAAGCCTAGACTCTGCTTTGCCTGGGCGGTGGGCCCTACCGGGCTGACTGGAAATGAGCGGACCGATGCGGCTGCTGAGGATGGGCCAGTTGACCTTCGGTCTCATTCCGCCCAAGCACCGTGTCGGATTTGGAACAGATGCTGAGACAAATGGCCCCTATGCACGAGTTTGGGTGAGCGCGGACGATCGCGTTACCGCGAGAAGGGCTCCGGGCAGCCGGGGGCATGGTCTCTAGTTTTTTTTTTAGGACGCCCAGCCCAGGAGGACTGGGTGTCCTCCTGCTCAGACAGCAGAGGACCAACCTTCGCCGCCTCAATACCGGACACGCGCACGGGGCACACCAGCCTCCTCTATCCGGGGGCGAAGTGCGTCCTCGCTGTGACCATACACTGTCAGGAGCCCATTTATTTGTGTGATGCCATCGAATGGAAGCCGAATGACGGCTCAGTCCTGACGTGCCGCGCAAAAGATACGCGCGACTTAAATCCATCCTTCCTTCCTTATTTGGTCTTTGCACATCGTGGAACCGATGCGGAAGCGCTTTTGAACTCTGAAAAACATCGATCTAAGAATCATATACCCACCTTGACAGCGATGTGTTGATTTAGTCGGATTACGCGCATCTCTGGATGCGCTTTACCGGTACGTTTGTCGAATACCAGCTGACCTGACCTACCGTGTTTTGTGTTTGCTTTGTTTGTTTTTGTTTTCACACTAAGCGAGTCGGTGGGAGCTAGGTGTTGTAACAAGCAAGTAAGAATAACTTTTGCTCCGCTCTCTTAAGCCTTTTTACCGTACCCAAGCACTAGTTCGGTTACTCGTACGCAGCGCCGGCTAACGTTTCCCCGCGTTCCGATGTGAGTAACGAGCACGGCGGCGTTGCTGTCTTGTCCCTAACCAGCGACGGCGACTGAAAGAGAAACGGTGTGTGGGTCTCGCTTATCTCAGTCGCGGCGGTGCGCGAGGTAAATATGCACAGACGTAAGAGGGCTCTCGAGCCCACTGGACGGCCACCGCGTGTGGGGGGAGGCGGCCGGACGGGGCGGACAGGGTTCCGCATTCCTCGGCCTTTGATTTCCTCGGCTCCGGCCGCACTCCTCCCGGCTCGAGAACCTGTATGTCACTCACAAGTTAGTGCCGTTACGCCGTTGGAACTAGAGTAGTTGAACGCCTTCAATCAACTCGCTTGTTGCCACCGACCACACCCATGCGTGCATTTTTTTAGCGCGAGTGCTGCACAGATTTCACCAACGTTGCTGAAACTGGATGAACGAACACTTTTTTGGAGTATCTGTGTGAAGTAGCGACACGACAGGAGTAGCCACTATCGCACCAGCGCAAAAAAATCGTACATGGGGATCCATAAACCATCAAGCGCTCCCTAGCGTTCCAAAGAAGAAAGCTTAGACCCATCCCGCCCCGGGCAAAAAGCGTCCCATGCCAAACCCGCCCCGGCCCAGCACGACGACCCAAACACAAAAACCGGCCCCAATACGGCACGGGGCGTCCCATACCAAAACCAGCACCGATCCTGCACGAGGCGTCCCATACCAAGCCGGCACCGACCCGGCACGAGACGTCCCATATTCGAGCCTTTCGTGCCCCACCACTCTAATCTAACCCGCGACCACACCGTCAGATGACGTGTTCTCGAATACGGGTAACTGCAGACATTCCCAGTGACTTACTGCAGGCAGATATACATGATAGATGTGCGAACGGCGCCATTGCACGTATCTCTCTTGGCCAAGGCCTGTGAGCTCCCACACCACGATTCATTTCTCCGCCAACCACCACCACACGCTTAGTCTTTAGTGGCGCCATCACTTTACTAAGGCCGATGGCGTGGCTCGGCAGCGTGTTTCAAACTTTGAACGACATCAGTCAGGACCCCCAACTGAGGGCCCATGACGAGTCCATGGTGATCATACGCCACGCCACCGATACATCTGGACGGCTTTGAAATGACATCGGCTATGATGCCATTGTCGATCAGGCCGCGACAAAGTACGTGCCGAATCCACGGTGGCTTTTTTGCTGCAATGCAGTAAAATATGCGATGCAGTTCAGCATTGTCCAGCATTGTGATTTGATCAGGTGCATCATTACAACTCCTATGACTGCAATGGTAATATAAGTATCATATGTTTACTATTACCTTTCATTTATACTTGGCTTCACATAATCATAGACAAATGACCCCATCAATTTATCGGTCACCAAAGAAATCGGAAAACTTGCTTACTTGACAACACCAGTTGAGGCCATTCTGGGATGCTGAAAAAAGTTCAAGGAGACACAGGAGCGTGTTGAAAAAGCTCTTTCACCTCCCCGCGGTGATGGCCGGGCCATCAACGCCTTGGCTAAGGTGGGGACGGAACGCTCCGCCGGCCCGACCGCCCAGCGCACCCCCGTGCCCGTGCCCGTGCATCCCCCGCACGCCTTCCCCCGCTCCCCTACGGAAACAGCCCGACGGCCCCCGCCGCGTTCCATCTGTCAGCGCGCCCTTTGTCACGTCACGTGACCACAAAGTCACGTGGCCTGCACGTCGCGCGCCCGCTGACGATGATGCCAGGATTTTTTATCAGCCCATCAGCATGGAGGGAAAGCGCTACCAGATTACAAATCACTCTGACTGAAGCGGGAGTTTGATTTGGTAGCTCTTGCGTTGGCGAGTACGTGAGCTGGGTGGGGTGGGGGGTGGGGGGGGGGGGGGGGGCACTTGTCTCTAATTTTGGGGGAAATGCGACGTATGACAGATAAGGAGGGAATCGAAATGCCACGAGTAGTCGTGGTAAGGCGAGTGAGAGTGATTGTTGCGGTGTGTAGTTGTGTTGCCCATTAAATTAATAACGTTATAGATAAACACTTAAAATGAGAGGGAAGAAATTGAAATGAATTGGAAATCGGAGGAAGCACTCAACATACGGATGGGATAGATGATGATAACACCGGAATACCGGAAAAGAAGCCACCTTTCCAGATACCACTTTGTAGGTAGCATGTCGTGATCGGCGGTAAGCCAGAGGCAGCGTGTGGACTGAAGTAAACGGTAAAAGAAGAAGGGAAAGTAAAGTTTCCTGTCAGCCCACGCATCGAACGCTCCGTCAGCACGCATGACGTCACGCATCCCAGCTGACAATCGTGTCGACGACAGATCGAAAGGGGCCCCGGTCCACGCGCACACTCCACTGGCCCTGCCCCGCTCTCCCTTCCATCCCCTCCCCTCGGCATGGCGAAGGCTGTATAAAAGACGGGACCGGAGATGCTCGGGCGGAACAGTAGCAGGGGTAGCGAGGGGCTTAAATGTGAACTGGTCGGCTTTCAATGGTGTTTGAGCTCATTTTCACTCTTACGAACGCTGCGCCGGATTCCATTTTTTTTTTCGGAGACAGTAGTGCCACGCATCATCTCTTATGACGTCAGTTTAAAACAAATGACCTTTTTGAAAGAAAAATGGGCCATCATAGCTTTATACAAGCGGCCACTGTATACATAAGAAAAAAACATGACTTATTATTGTCACGATGGCGCACACAACTAGATGAAAAACGTAAAATATGGCAAATTAACGTCATACTAGTGTCTCCCGCGACCCTTAGCTCTGGTTCACAATGCGCTCATCCTTAATCCACATGTACGCGCGCGTGAGGTGTGCACGCCATTGAGGGGCGGGCTTTGCCGGAAAGTCGGAGCGTTTGGCGGGGGGCATCGGTTTGGAAGATAAGCGATATTATCCACCCGCGCTGGTTTGTCTATTGACGATAAGGTCCAGGTTTATTAGCCGCGCATCACACTCATGGAAGGCCCAGATCTATGAGCCTAAGATGCCATATCCATCGCGTCAAAAAGTGAAGTGTGGATATGATGAGTGTGTCTTCGAGAGTGACCGGAAAACCCTAAAGGCGCACGGTCAACAAACATGGCTCCAGCCGTGTTGTGCTGAGAAAATGAGCTTTTGGTGCGGGTGGAAGATGGCAGGCATGGACGTTACAGAATGGTGGGTAACCAATTATTGGAAAGATTGGTTTGGTTCACACCAGCCATGTCTCCATGTCCCTGATGTTTGTCTTAGAGATCAACAACGTCTACCATTGGTGTAAGGGGACTCCGTTTTTCTTTTACTACCAAAACTTACACTTGCAGTAGGTAGCGAAACAGTATAAATATGAGTACATCTAACGCTTGTGGCATTTTCGAGGTCCAACTCCCGTATACCATGCGAATTTGCCCCAGGTAACACGGGAGATGTATTCGCATACCCGATTCCCTCATGTCGAAGGAAACGCAGTCTTTGAGCGCGCCCAAAAACACAACGCTTATAGCGCAGTAAATTTGGAGGAATACAGCCTTTTCTTTTTTCTGTCTACTTCTCTACTGTGTGCAGAAGATAATTCAACTCTGAAATGTTTAGGAGCTAATCTTAAAAGCCTGTTTTCTTGGATGGGCTGGGAAGACAGACTATGGGTCCGAAAAGGGCAGTTGGGAGGCAGTCCAGCATACTTTTCGACCTCTGAGTGAGCACTCGCAACAAGCTGTACCCACGTCCGCTTCGGCCGTGCAGGGCTGCTTACCTGGAAATCCTCTGCCTCGACTTTACGCCGGTTGTGACTCTCGCCCAGCAGGAAGATGGTCTCGTCGACCACCTCTAGGTCGTCCAGGGCGCTGATGATCGAGCCCAGCGAGGTGACCACGCGGCCGGCATGGGCGCGCACCCGCGCCGACGAGCGCATGACCTCCGGCGAGCTGGTGTTGAGCCGCGGGAACTTGGCCTTCGTCTCCGGGTACCGATCGAACAGCCTGCGACAGGCGACCATCCTCGGTGAAAAGGCCATTCGTAACCGGGGTAAGGTTCGGACAGCCTGCGACAGACGACCGAGAGCACTGATGAGAGGGAACTAGTTTTCAGGTACTGGACCAACAGCCTGTGGCAGGACACCGGACACATGGTGTCCAGGTGTTGGACCAACAGCCTGTGGCAGGATAACGAGGGAACTGATGGCGTCGTCATCATTGGGGCATTATGACGTGCTCAGCTGCTGAGGCTACATGGCGTCGCCTGCCACTCACACTGGCAGGAAGGGCGGGCACCGCGGGAATCAGATCTCTGGCAACCCCGACGCGCATTGGCTGACGCGGAACCACTACTCTATCGACACACAAGGAGGGAGCGTAGTTATTGGAGAGACCTTGGTCTCCGGGTGCGACTCGAACAGTCTGTGGCAGATGACTGAGGGAACTGATACGAGGACCTTGATCCTCGGGTTCCGGTAGTACAGCCTGTGACACGTGACAGAGGCCGCCGGTAGGCGGGACGTTCGTCTCTCGGGGTGACACTCGAACAACTGGTGACAAGGCACGACGTGAACTGATGCCTTGTTCCCCAGGCAACGGTCGGAGAGCCTGTGACAGGCAGCTGTGGGCGTCAGTGAGTGAGACTCGGGCCAAAAAAGGGACTTGTCCCAGTCATGAGCGCCCACACTCTGCTAGCTCAGAGAGGCTTGCCATTTGTGCCTCCCTAAACTACACAGTTTGGGTGGGATAACGCGTTATCTTAATGTCTATACGTATAACACTGTGCCCAGCGACAACAAAAATCGACCACGCCCATGCTAAGAGGCCCAAAGCCCATAGACTTAAGTCGTTACCAAGAAAGGATTTTCAAAATTTTGGTTCCAGAGTCGTCAAAGCTAATTCATTTGAGATATTCATGAATCAACGAGAAACCAACCCAGATGCGTATGTGAGTTAGTTTCGAATTCGAGATATTTAGAACGTTTGGGAGAGAGATAAAAACAGAGACAATGCTCAAGAGAGAGGCACCCACACAAATGCGTCCACACGTCCTTCTGGCTAGACCGGCACAACATTTCTGGAAGAAAGCTGTGTATATATGACATGCGTCACGCGTATCGAACACTCGTTCATCTCAGTACGCGCCAGCAATAAATAGAACAGATACGTTCGCGACTGGATTGCCCAGCTGCTGGGAATCGTCAGTGGAGATCAACGCACCACCAGAGAAAACAAACCCAGCAAAGTCACATCTGCGTGAAAGGGTGGTTGTATATATATATATATATATATATATATATATATATATATATATATATATCTCTCTCTCTCTCTCTCTCTCTCTCTCTCTCTCTCTCTCTCTCTCTCTCTCTCTCTCTCTCTCTCTCTCTCTCTCTCTCTCTCTCTCTCTCTCTCTCTCATTTACATAAAGCACCTGACGTTATAGGCATTTATAGCTCGAAACAACTGTAATGCCTCCAATATATCCTAGTCTAACAATTTCGCATTTTAACCTAACCGTACACGATGTGGCTTAGCGTGCTCGTGCAAGCAAGTACCCGCACCCACAGCACGTTACGACACTGCATCACTGATGTCCTCTCCATGCAAGCACCCGCACCCACAGCACGTTACGACACTGCATCACTGATGCCTCTCCATGCAAGCACCCGTACCCACAGCACATTACGATACTGCATCACCGATGCGTCTTCATGCAAGCACCCGTGCCCACAGCACATTACGACACTGCATCACCGATGCGCCTTCATGCAAGCACCCGTGCCCACAGCACATTACGACACTGTATCACCGATGCGTCTTCATGCAAGCAACCGTGCCCACAGCACATTACGACACTGCATCACCGATGCGTATTTATGCAATCATGTCGATATGCATCAATGCACAAAGGTGTCATTTCAAAGAGCGTGACCCGATCCAATGCTAAAAATGCTCCTAAATGCATGCATTTAAAAATCAAAAGAGCCTGACGCTTATACAGTCTGACTGGCGACTACTTTCGGTCTATTATGAACATCATGCTGTTTGATTTTCCACCGATATACCAACCAATGCCGATCATCTCAGAAACGTTATGTGATACGGGTGAGTCGTTTTGGACCATTTGAAATACACCTGCCGGATTGTCTCCTGACACCCTAAAACTCTCATGTGGGACTCTTATGAACCCTCTCAGGGGTCACACTAGTCATGAAAAACATGACTATACCGGAAGGATCCGGTTACCCTTGACGGCCACTTAGAAGACACGCTGAAATACCCTTAAATCTCCATGACAGTGTCTCACCATTTTTTTGATCGATTAGGAACTACCTTCCATTCATCTTTGCCCCCACCCAGCCCATACATTTTTCAGGGCTGGGCATGAAAATTAGCACCCTTACAAATATAACCTTTTGATGTAGCCTAACCGCACCTCACCAGCAGAGAGTCTATGCTCAAATTTGGATTCGACGGGAAATTGTGCTGAAATAGTATGACGTTACCTAGCTCAACGAGAAGCAATCTGCTTGGATACATCTCGATCGACTCTCTTGAATACATCCCAAACACACCACTCTCAAATTCCGCTGTGTGGTGTCACTCTGAGGCACGGGGTAAATCTACAAATAACACACTTTTGAAAAGTGTAGCACATCCTTAACTTTCTGTGTCATTGTAGCTCCTGCGGCATCATAACACAACCCGTTACTCACGGAATTCCAAAAATTGTATGTTATACAGTTACCTCACTCGGATTTCCAAAACGAACAAGCGAACGACAGCTGCTCAGGCCGATAGCCTCACGTCTTGAAATTTAACGTGCCTGCCTTCGTGGTGACAATAGAGAAGTAACACACGTTATCTTCACGAGAGCCACCCGCTGAGCCCTATATGTCGACGTCCCGCTCTGCTCTCACTCTTTTACAAAAAGCTGGAAGTCGATCCGCTTGGACGAGCCCGTCACGTCACCCCAAAATGGCAGACCCACCGTCTATGAAGGGAACAGGTGAGTGCTCCTACAGCAGCGGTGGCGAGCCCGTCACGGTAGCCCAGAATGGCAGACCCACCGTTTATCAAGGGAACAAGCGAGAGCTCCTACAGCAGCGGTGGCGAGCCCGTCACGGTAGCCCAGAATGGCAGACCCACCGTCTATGAAGGGAGCAAGCGAGTGCTCCTGTAGCAGCGGTGGCGAGCCTGGCAAGCAGTCTTAAGTCACGAGATTGGTGCGCCTACCAGGCAGCTGCTCAACAAACGAGATGGGTGCGCCTACCATGCAGCTGCTCAACAAGCGAGATGGGTACGCCTACCAGGCAGCTGCTCAGCAGACGCCGTAACATAGAGAGCTGGCCCAGTGATGAAATATCAATTAAATACGGATAGAGGCGAAGAGTATTTCGGAAAACGTCTCCTCATTCCCATTAAAGTCCATGCCGTCTGACACTTTCTTCGGTGCATCAATAATCAGGGGCAATTAATGACGGTAATACTTATGGCCAAAAGCGCAGAATATCAGTATTGGTCACCGTCAGCTCCCGCAGCCGCTTCTGAGGCCTGCTGGCGCGTGAGGCCCATCAGCATCAGCACGGCCTGCTGGCGCGTGAGGCCCATCAGCATCAGCTCCTTCGGCATGGCTGAGCGCCTCACACATGCGTTAGCGGCCTGACCAGCTGTTCACTCGGTTGCTGCGCTGCCCTGTCACCGGCTGACTTCAGCCTCCGGATGCATTTGGTGGAGCTCGTGGTGACGGCTCGTGGAATAAGAGTCGTGAGTACACTGCTCTATGATAACGTCATCGCAACCGGCTCGTCTGCCCGAATACGGCTCTTTCACGTGGTCGTGGCGATTACAAGCCGAGCAGCGCAATGATAAGGACCACATCGCCTGATATCACACTTGTAGGCAGGACAATCAGACACGTTGTTCAACAGTCTGAAACCGCTCTCCTTTAGAAGGACCTGATGCCTTCAGCCGCATTGACGAATAACGCTGCCATAATGCACTGATATGTGAGGGCACGTTCTCAAGATTGTTTACCAATACAGCCCACAGCGAACAGATTGACATATGAGTGTGTCAAACCTTCTGCACACGACATAAAACGTTTGGTGGTACAGAGTATTTCAGTACTTGCGCTGGAAGGTATCCACTAATATCTCGTATCCCATAAAAAATTGGACAGGCACGAATCTATGTTGTTGATTTTGTTCGCCTATTTAAAGGAATTGGATATGCATAGTACAACTCCATATATTTTCCTAAGATCTTTTACTCGAGAGTTAAAATGCAAAAACGGTTATGGCAAAACGCGCATTTGCAGGTCTAACACGAGCGAAAACACCTGACACATTGACAATTTGTCAATGTGTGTTTCGGTGTTACCACTGCAAGGAGTCGCCCACAACTTACTTCACGCATGGGGGGGGGGGGGGGAGCGGGCTTAGTGGAATGGAACGGAAGCGTAACAATGGTGGGAGAGGAGGTTTTGGGCAGCGTTTTGTTAACGAATAACACAAATGCCAAGCTCCACCTTACATTTACGCCAATTCGTGATACGCAAGTTTGTGTAACTGACATATTTGAATACATTTAAATAACACACATGAATTCGTCACATCACATGAGCTAGAATAGCATAATAATCGTACCCGATCGTATGCCATCTGCCTTACAACTGACAGACCCCGGCAGGGGCTGCTGTGTACATTATGGTCGGATTCTGAAGTACGAGAAGAGAAGCGTGCTCTGGAACGTGTTTGGGCCACGCGGCCAATAGAAGAGAGGCCGGGCCCCGTCATTTCAGATTCGAAGATTTGAGGGATTTTTAAGGATATTTTGCGTCACCTGCGACGCCTCACTCACATCACCCGTGTTAACTCAAATATTCTGACGAACTATGGGTCAACATTATCGACTGCCGTCTGAGTACTTCCGGCCCGCCGATTAGACACTGAGATGTCACCAGGTGGACAGTACGAACTCCAGGTGGTTGAGGGACGGCAGAATGCCCCAGTCGGTGCCGCGCTTAAAGGTGCGCGACGGAGCAATGTCTCTCATGCGGATTGCATGCCGTCTGACGGGCATGTAGTAGAACTTCGAACCATGCTTCGGTGGCCATACGGTGGCACCATACGGTGACAATTTATCACAGGCGATGTAACCAAAACCGTGCATGACTACACGATAAATAAACCCAGGGGGCGGTGGCTCCAAGTGACAGTTGGCGCGACAGCAGTGCGGCGGCGGCGGCGCGCTTACTCGTCATTATCGAAGACTCTCCTGTGAGGGGCAGCCTGTTCCCGTCTGGCGTGACAGGTGACGTCATAAAGCGCATCGGCGCTCTGTGAAGTTTGCGACGCCAGTTACCAGGCCAGGGAGGTCGGTTTGAGCGGCGTGACGAGGTGCTGATGGTCTGCCCACCCAGCCACGCGGGCGCCCGCCCCACCGCACAGCTCCAGTCGGACCGGCGCTGCGGTCTCTGACCGCTGACGTGACCTCCGTCTAGATCCGGGGAGGGGGGGGGGGGGGTGGCGACGCCCGGCACCGGCAGTCTGGCCTTTACACTGTCGGTCGCTGGTGCCGAGCCAAAGCCGTGATGAACGTGAAAGGTGCCTGCCCGACAGCGTCCCACCACTCGGTCCTTGCGCAAGCTGCAGCCACAAGAACTGGTCGGCCTCTGGTCGGTCTGGTCGGCCTCTCACGCCGTGTGACAGGGCGCCGTTCTGGCGAGCGACGGGACGGGTCTTCCACCTCAACTCTGCAGTGGCGTGGTTACGACGCGCCGCCCAGCTCGGCCGAGTGAGCCTCCCGGCTCTCACCTCACGCCGAGCCCGGCCCGGGCGCAGTTCCGGCAGCAGCCCGCGCGCCACTCAGGTGGCCTCGTACCCTCGCATGCCCTTCCGTACCTGATGAGGATCTCCACGCCGTGGTGCATCTTGTCCGGGTCGACCAGCGCCCAGATCGCCCTGATCTGCTCGATCTCAGAGTTCTCCATTGGTGTCCACTCCTGGGAACAGAAAGACAGGGCGACGCTCTCAAAACAGTTCCCTATCAAACCATTCGTGCCGGATCGTTCTCGTTGACGTGGAACGGAGGGACGGAACGGTGTTCTTCCGGCATAGTAACGTTTCATTCCGCCGTGATCGTTTGTCTGATCTTTGGGTCCGAACCACAGTCGACGAAACAGATCACATGTTTCACCATCGCGACAGGATTTGGTGAAATAAAATGAGCCCAGGCCGCCAAAAAAAGAAAGGAATAAAAAGGTGAAAAAATTAGAACACTGAACGCGCATGGCTCATCGGAATGCTCTCGCTTTTATGTATTAGAGTACCCCAAGAAGCAAGACGGCTGCAACACATCTCACTGATTCAGGATAATACCATTTTCCCGCCAGCCAATCGCTCTTGACAAACACAATTTCTTAATACCACTGGTGTATCGGTTCAGAACTGAAAGAACAACTACTTCACACAGGCAGACGAAAACACAATTGCACAAACAGACATTTCATTGATTTTGTGCATAGGTTGGGTTCGAACAGCTTTCTTCGAATGACCACCATTTTCTCGTGTGCCAACAAACGACGCGTCCTTCATACCGAACTCAGGCCGCAGTCCCAGTTCAGGACGCGTCGCGGTGGGACTCAGTCCCAGTTCAGGATGCGTCGCGGTGGGACTCAGTCCCAGTTCAGGATGTATCGCGGCGGGACTCAGTCCCAGTTCAGGACGCGTCGCGGTGGGACTTAGTCCCAGTTCAGGACGCGTCGCGGTGGGACTCAGTCCCAGTTCAGGACGTGTCGCGGTGGGACTCAGGAAGAACGGGTCCGGGGCTGGAGTTGCGATACCAATGAAGTGCCACCACGGCCCCATATTATAGAGACCGGAAGAAATCACAGTGTCATAGAAAATTGTGAAACCAATATATATATATATATATATATATATATATATATATATATACACATACATATATATATATATATACACACACACACATATATATATATATATATATATATATATATATATATATATATATCACACTTGTGTCGATCATGTCTAAGACAACGATGGCATGTTTGGCCTTTCATTTCCGAAAACATTCTGTTCCCCAAAACTACCCCATAAGATGCCAACAACGAATATTTTAACTGAAACGGCCGCGCAATGTGTGCAAATGTATGGCGTTCTGCTATGTTTGCGCACAGCCTGTGAGCTATGACCGTGAACCAGACTGACCTTTGCCGATGTTGCTCTATATCTAGATCCAGATGTTGATGCTGATCTAGATCCAGACTTACCTTTGTTACATATTTACTTCAGGCATGCAACTACGGGTCAGAGCAGTGCCGTGAGTTTACGACACCAAGCGGATCTGATAGCGGCGCCTGGTAGTTTATCAGCTGTAGCCGTCTGGCGCCTGGTCGGGAGCAGCAGGCAGGCGCCGGCCTGCCGTAGCATACGTTACATGACACTTGGAACCTTTTCGGAACAACGGTTCCTCCAAATGGAATTGCTATCCTGTGTGGTGCGCTGGAGCTATCCGTAAAATTACAGCAAGCCATTTCGGCTCCAAGGCCGTCTATACAAAACATCCCATCCAATTGCTGTGAAAAAAAACAGGATAAGCCCCTTATGAGGCTCACGAAGCCCATACTCACAGCGGCCCCGACACGCAGCTGGCCTCGGTGTCATGGTTAAGCCGCCGAACGAGGGGGAGGGGGGGGGGGGGGGAGGGCGTCGGACCTCCGGCTGTCGTCGGCGATTCCCTCGTGAACCCGCGAGACGTGTTGTTGTAGACTTAGATGTTGTGACAGTCCCCACGGCTCGGTGTCGGTGCTGGCTGGGGGACGGTAGGGTTTCACTGCCGCGTGTGTTCCCTCCCACGACCGTGTGTAGGTGTTTGGACGTCTAGTATTTATAGAACATTAGTGCTTCTCACATTCATGTTTAGATGTTTAACACTTGTCTCGGAGCGTCTGTTTGCGAGTCAACGACCGCGAGCCTAGTGCTATACAACCAAAACAATGGCCAAAAATATCATGGCACCTTACAGCTTTTAGTAAAAGTGATGAATTTATAATTCATTGCATATCGATATCAGAACTGATATTGATGATACTAATACAATGTTTTCATTTAAGTACAAGCTATTTTCATTTATTTGTGTTAATTAGCAGATCTATAAGGTCTTTTTTGATGCATACTCTCGTTTAAGAAAGGCTGCATACACGAATGATGTTTAACAACAATATCGAACTACGCTAAAAACCAACACACATTGCCGATCTCGGGTAACAAGAGCGTCACACGGATAGCTACCTGTGCAGTGCTTATTTGGAAATTAAACAAACACCAGATGACCGATGTCTCCGGTTTGTCCTTGATCCATGCCACTCATGTCCCGGGGACAAGCCGGGACATCCATCCTACTGATGTCTTTAATGTGCCGTCATAATGTTCACAACGCGGGCAGCTCGCCTGCCTTCCTTGTTCATGTGATGCATCATCGGTTTTTTTGCGTCTCTATTTTCGTGCATGCCATTTTCAATCTAAAACATCATTTGAATGAAACTCGTCAATTTGCATAAAACGCGTGACTTATAGATTTGCTAGTTTGTTAAACGTGTTTTTATGTAACTGAACCTGATGAAGCCTTAAAGGCAAAGCACCGGTCGTATTTTTGGCTACAGTTATAATATGTATACAATACAATTTTCTGTTTTTGTTCTGTCCCAATGAAATTTCTCAGATTTGCGCCCAACCCACTTAACGTGGTAATTGTTTCTCACCGTTTGGCAACCGTGTATAAGTGGGATCTCCACTGAGAACACTGTTCGCGTTCCCTGACTAGCTCCGGTAGCTGTGAGGAGTAGCTCTCATCGTCCTCAGAGTGAACAGTTCCGCAAACCACTCCGATTGCGCCACTTCGTGACGTCTCATCGGACGTCTGGAGCGTCTAGAATGGCTTGGATATCTGGCGGGTTAGGGCGCCTCCCGCCGACACGACACACAGGCTCCGAGGGCGCCCCTGGAGCCGCACCGCCGCGAGGTTCAGCCCTCCCCTCCCCCCCCCCCCCCTCTTGCCACAGGCAGCCGGTGACGTTCGTCCGAGCCCGTAAGCCAGCGCCACAGCCGGCCCCCGCCACCGCAACGGCCAGTCGGACCTGCTGCAAGCGAACTTTTGCGGAAGCGGCTTCCGCCATCCGTAGTTTGTTGCCCGACTATGGCGCTCATGCGATAAATGCATGATTTTCTGAAAACCATAGGGCTGATTGTGTCTGGCTCGTTTGGTCGGAGCAAACACTTGTGCCCTTATTTGATCAACAGGTGCTCCCCTATTCCGATCGGCGTTAAGCCAACATGCAACAAATGTTCTACGTAGCCTCTGAAGAAAAACTTTGACTGCAACATATGAACATATTACTGCGCCCCATGCCATTCAGATGATGACGCCTATGAAGGCAAATTTAGAGCCATTCCTCAGTGCGTCTCAACATGCTGCCTGAGTAGCTGTAGCCTCATCTGTAGCGTATATTTGATATCGCTGTCCAAGTAACTGACATTGCTCACCTTTTCGAAGAGTCTTAGTCTACGCAAACACCTCTGTATGATACAGCACTGCTCTGAACCCTTGGCGGACGTGCCGCGGTCCTGGAGACAGATGCTAGACTCGTAATCCAGCGGCGCTGGGAGCCCACAGCGGGTGCGTTACTTGACCCGTCTGACAGGGAGGCGTCAGCTGGTGAACTGGTCAGCGACGCTCAATCCAGGCCCGGGGCGGTCGTGCCGTAGCATTGTGTGGCACGTAAACCCTCCGCATTCCTGCCTGGCGAAGGGCGGAGGGAATGTGGAGGCGAATGTATCCATTGAGCTGGACGACATGCCCTGGGTGGTGGGCTTAGGGTATACGCAACAAGCCACGCTTAGGAGCCGGCATTCGGAACCCACCGCTGCCTATGCAGACTGTTCGAAAAAAGGCATCAACAGCAAAACAAAATCGCATGACGGGACCGCACCCCTGGCGATACGTCAGCACCCTGACCAGTGACCTCAGACTCGGTCTGGTTCAATGCTAGCGCCCTGACCAGTGACCGCAGACCCGGTCTGGTTCAATGCCAGCGCCCTGACCAGTGACCTCAGACCCGGCCTGGTTCAATGTTAGCGCCGTGACCAGTGACCGCAGACCCCGTCCGGTTCAATGCCAGCACCCTGACCAGTGACCTCAGACCCGGTCTGATTCAATGTTAGCGCCCTGACCAGTAACCGCAGACCCCTTCCGGTTCAATGCCAGCACCCTGACCAGTGACAGCAGACCCGGTCTGGTTCAATGTCAGCACCCTGATCAGTGACCGCAGACCCGGTCTGGTTCAATGTCAGCGCCCTGACCAGTGACCTCAGACCCGGTCTGGTTCAATGTCAGCGCCCTGACCAGTGACCGCAGACCCGGTCCGGTTCAATGTCAGCGCCCTGACCAGTGACCTCAGACCCGGTCTGGTTCAATGTCAGCGCCCTGTCTGGTTCAATGTCGGCGGACTCGCCGCCCGCCATGCGAGGTATTGCCGCGGTGAGCCAAGCGATGAGGTCAGAGAGGGCACTTCCACCGTTGAGACGGCCTGTTCGGCGCTGGTTCAACTAATATATATGCAACAATGAGTGGTGCATATGCAAGCTGCATCAATGCGCCGATCACAAAAACATACTAAGCACCAGGGACGTTCACGCTTCCCGACTTGAGAGCGACGCTCGCCAACGTATCGTGCCTATTTCCGGCAGCAGTCACGCGCGACCATGGGGCGGCCACCCGCCCGGGGGAGGGGGGGGGGGGGGCAGCCGACCGCGACGTCCGCTTTATCGCCGCACACGTGGAGATGGTTGCCGACACAATTAACAGGTTGGTGAAACCGAATGCACTAAAGGATAGCCCGACTACGTGCGCTAGGATTCACCATTACCATACGTGCGCTACCTCACCATTCTGCCGATTCCTTCAGAATTCACCAGG